CCTCCTATTCATCTTTTCCTTCCCAAGAGGCAGGAAAAAAATCAAAAAAATTATACTTGTACTAACCCAAGACTGCAGAAACAAACCACACACATCTACCTGTATAACCCCAGGCGGCAGGAAAACCTCAAACCCCTCTCACCTATCCCTAACCCAGGCTGCAGGTACACACTCATTCACCTCTCACCTGTACCTACCCCAGGCTGCAGGTGCACACTCACACAGCTCTCACCTGTACCTACCCCAGACTGCAGGTACACACTCACACACCTCTCACCTGTACCTACCCCAGGCTGCAGGTGCACACCCACACACCTCTCACCTGTACCTACCCCAGGCTGCAGGTACACACTCATACACCTCTCACCTGTACCTACCCCAGGCTGCAGGTGCACACTCATACACCCTGTTACCCATACCTATCCCAGGTTGCGGGCACACATTCACACCCCCGTCACCTGTACCTACCCCATGCACACATGTAGGAAATGCACATGGCTACACCTGTAGCAATTGTTCAGTGTCCTGAATGTAAGCCCCTCAGTGTAGGTGGAAAGTGTTCTCTTGCCATTTCCCCGGTAAATAATCTTTGGCAGCACGCTAGGCCACTGGTCCTAGAAATAGGCAGAAACAAACCGCATTTGGAGTCAGGATGCCCACCGTCACACGCCTCTCCCACAGCCCTGACAAACTACGAGCCACCAAGCAGCACCTTCATCATAACCCTCTCCCAGCATGCACTGCTGGACTGCTGAGTTTCCTAACAATCAGCAGAGCCCTGTATCCGAGTTACATGAACACACAGGGAGATGTGGAATCCACCAGTTTCTCAAGCATTCATTTCCTTCATAATTACCTGTTAATCTTCATGCCTATGCATTCAACTGATTAAAATTCACACATGCAGTTCAAATTCTTCTCAGGAAATTCCTGAGGATGCAATAAAAAAGTAATGTTAAGGGGATGGTGTTGTGACGTGTGGATAAAGTCACCGCCTGCAGTGTCGGCATTCCAAGTGAGCGTCAATTCAAGTCCTGGCTGCTCCACTTCCAATCCAGCTCTCTGGCCTGGGAAAGCAGCAGAAGATGGCCCAAGTGCTTGGACCCCTGCACCGACTTGGGAGACCTGGAAGAAGCTCCTGGCTTCAGCCTGGCCCAATGCTGGCCACTGTGACCACCTGGGGGGTAAATCAGTGCATGGAAGCTCTCTGTCTCCCTGTCTCTCTATAACTGACTTTCAAAATAAACACATAAATCTTTTAAAAAAATTAAAAGTAATGTGTGCTGGCACCATGGCTCACTTGGTTAATCCTCTGCCTGCGGCACCGGCATCCCATATGGGTGCCGGGTTCTAGTCCCGGTTGCTCTTCTTCCAGTCCAGCTCTCTGCTGTGGCCCAGAAAGGCAATGGAGGATGGCCCAGGTCCTTGGGCCCTGCACCCGCATGGGAGACCAGGAGGAAGCACCTGGCTCCTGGCTTCGGATTAGCGTAGCACCAGCCGTAGCAGCCATTTGGGGAGTGAACCAACGGAAGGAAGACCTCTCTCTCTCTCTCTCTTACTGTCTATAACTCTGTCAAATAAATTAAAAAAAAATTAAAAGAAACGTTAAAATAATCTCATTTGCTTCTGCTCCAAACACTTGTTTTCTGTAAGGTCTCTCAAACTAATTAAAATGGGTCACCAGAGTTTAAATGGGGCACTCCTCAGGGCACCACGTGGCTCAGCTCAGGATCTGGCTCACGCCGCCTGGGCCGCCCACCCCTTCCTCTCCCAGGGGTCCATCCCCAGATCCCTGAAACCCCTCCTCCTGCACTTGCCACCGGTGCCCCAAGCCCAGGTGTTTTCCCTCCCCAGCACTTGCTTCCCTGGTCCTCGCAGGTTCTGTGAACCTCAGCCCAGCGCCTGGCACAGCGCAGCTTCCCCAGGTGTAGGCAGCGGCCTGTCCAGCTCGTGACAGCTGACCGGCATGGCTGGCTCTGGAGACGGGTTCCAGGTGGCCTCACGCTGCACTCCCACGGCGGCCTTTCCGATTCCTAGATGTTACTTCTCCTAAGGCAAAGCTTGTAGGCAAACGTCTGATGACCTCTGTCATGTCTGGGAACATGGCCCACACACAACCCACCCTCACGGCCTGCAGGTCCACCTGCTGTCCCCACGGGCTCCTCCTGAGCTCTTCTCACACGGCGCCTCCCACCTGCAGCATCCACCATCCAGTGCTCGTGGGCCGCTGGTGGACGGCCACACGGCCACACAGAACGAACACGAGTGAGCCCCAGAGCCGCGGTTTGCACAGGCTGGACCCTCAGTGGCTGGGGAGGCAGGGACCGACTCCATTACGTTGCCAATGCTTGTCTCTTCTTATCAGTCACAGGCCCAGCCACTCCTAAGGATCAGTAAGGCCAGGACCACGGCCGAGGGCATGCTTGCTGGCTGCCACGTAGAAAGGGCTGATTCCAGTGAGGGTGCTCCCTGGAGCACCGGGGAGAGAGGGGAGCGGCCCAGGTTGCGGAGGAACACGAGACCGTGGACACAACGTGGCAACGCAGCCCACAGGAGAGTCCCTCGTCGAGGCTCCTGAGCCACCGTCCTTCCTTGGCTCACAGCCCTCTCGCTGCCCGCCCGTGGCCGCCCTGCCCCAACCATCCCTGTCTCACCCTCTGGGATCCCTCCTGACAACAGCCTGGACAACAGTGTGGACGTCTAACCCACTTGGGCTGGCTCAGGTGCCTCAGTGGAACCCTGAGTGCACGCAGTGCCGTCCTGGGGTCCCTGCCGCGCTCTAGCTGCAATGCTAGGCAGATGCTGTGAGCAAAACCAACAGCGTGGAAGGGGAGAGAAGCCGTCCGACAGGAGAGAGAGGATAAAGAGGCCACATGCCGGTCCCTGTGGACAGAGGAGGAGCCTATCTAGGTCCTCCACTGTGCCCGCAGCTCTGCAAAAGCAGTGGAAGTCATCTAACTCCAGAGTCAGGCACTCGCCCTCTCTCGATCACAAGCGTGCCGGTTTTAGCGTAAACTGTCGCTGGCTTCATGTGAGCTCCAGTTGGACAGCACATGTTTATAACCCAAATTTGTATAGAATACACACACAGTGTAAGGGCCAACAAAGAATGCTTAAAATAAACGTCTAACAAGACATGGACCATTTCCCCACCCTGACACGTTCTCTGCATGGCGAGGCCCAGCAGAGATCAAGGCTGTTCCTGCATCCAGGGCTGTGGTGAACCCCACACCTTGTGATCCTGGAGGCACTGACATCTGTCAGTCATTCCAGAAAGAACACAAGATGCCAATCACTAACCACCCAGCTTCAGAGACTTACAATACGCAGAGCTGAGCGTCTGACGGCCGATGACAGGCAACACAGAATCTCCTAACGGAGCTCGGATGCACTGAGTGACAGGTTCACACCCAGGAGCGGGTGCAGCAGCTCAACGTGTGACTGACAGGTGTCTGTGCTGGCACAGCGGGGCAATGAGATGGCCTCACAAGGCCACCGGGGCCAGGCCAGGGAGGGCAGGGTGCAGCACTCAGCTTCAAATCAGGATTAACAGAACTCTGACGTCATCTTTAAGCAAATCAAAGTCAATGTGGAAAAATCGACGCCGAGTCGTGACCGAGAACAGGACCCGCACGGCTCAACTTCCTCCTTGCCTCGAGCAGTGGTGCCGCCGGGCCGGGCACCGAGAACCAGCCAGGGAGCAACGGGAGAGGAAGGAAAACCAGAGTGCAGCAGGCTGCTCCCGCACCTCAGCCCGGCTCTGGACATGGCGCCGGCCCAGCAGGCAGACGTCACGAGTGGGTTCTCCAGCCGCCTGCACCCTGCAGCTCGGATGGCGAGCCGGGGTCCATGAAGGCGCCGGAGACCTCCAAGGACAGCACGGCGTGTGCCAACTGTCAGCATTTAATTCACTCCGCACCCGCCAGGTAGGGGCTGTGGCCGTCCTAAATGACCAGGAACGGAACCGGCTTCCCCTTCCAGAACCTCAGCACCAGTGTCACTGAACAAAGCCATTTTCCTTCCATGCCGAGCGAGGCCTAGGGGCAGGCTGCAATCCGGTCAGAAACACCCAGCCCCGGGCCCTAGGCTCCCGAGGCCCGGCGCCCCAGCCTGCAGCCGGGACCCTGGGGCTGGCTCTGGTTTTGCCGCAGCTCCTCCTCACGCAGTCACGGGCACCTCTCTATTCCTCAGCCTCCCTCGGGCCATGGGCTCTCACTCACCCGTACCGCCGGACAGAGCTGTGCGTGCACAGGTGTGTGCACAGGGTGCCTCGGGCCGAAGTACTTACTTGTAAAGAACAACCACAGAACACAAAGGGGAAAGCACCGGCCAGCAGAGAGGAGCGGGAACCATCCGCCCTGTGTGCCCGTTCCCACCACAGAACCCCGCTGGCGGTTCTCCCGCGGGACGGGGTGCAGGGATGACAGGGCCGGGGCTGTCTTCCAGTGCTGCCCAAAGGCAAGGCCGACTTCCTCGAAAGCGAGCTACCAGGCGCTTCCGCCACCACCACGGCCGAGCTGCACGTGCTGCGGTACCCACCACACCGCAGGGGCAGCCGTGGGACACTGGGGCTGGCAGGGGAGCCACTTCCTAGCGGGGAAGTGTGGGCGTCCAGCCGGGGCTCCCTGGGAGCTCTCCCCTAATGCACCTGACTCGGGAGCTGGGACCCACGCAGGCCTGCGTCTCCCTGCACACGACCGTCCACCGTGGTTTCATCGACACTGGGCTGCAGGCTGAGGCATAGACTGCTCTCGTTCTTAGCAGTCACCTTGGGTCCAGAGCTCGTGAATGTGACTCGAACCACAATGCACCCACCGCACAGCAAGGGGAGCCTGGCCGTGAGCGCGGCCACGTGGGTGGAGGGCTGCTGCCGAGCCCCTCCCTGCCCACGGTTCTCATCTGAAGAAGGTCTTCGAGGGGAGACACGGGCATTGTTTTGGGAGAATCACCATGAAGGGTTCAATTCAAAACCCAAATGACCACAAGCAAGCTCTCCTGGGCCAGAGCAGCCGCCACGTGACTTTACCCGAGAATGGACACCTCTGGCTTTCGGAGTCACCTGTCCCTACGGCAAAACACGCCCCTGATGCCCTGGGTGAAGAATCAGCTCCCTGTGACAGCCGGCATCGTGGTGATTGCATTGCCACATTTAGCGGAAGGCACGGCACTGCCCTGCACGGCTGAGCACCGGCGGCGATTTCAAAGCCATCCAAGGTCAAATCAGCCTGGCTTCTTATCGCGTCCCTAAGAAGAACGTACCCTGCTTTTTAAAAAAAGGTGGAAAATCTCCAGTTTGGAGACACATTTTTTAAAAATTTTATTTCCTGGAGAGACAGAGACAGAGAGAGAAAACCAGAGAAAGAGGAGAGACGGAGGGAGGTAGGGACATAGCACGTGCGCCGCCATCCACTGCTTCCTTCCCTAAATGCCACACGGCCGGGGCTTCGGGGCCTCACCCAGGTCTCCCGTGTGGGTGGCGGGGACCCAACCACATGCGCACTGCAGAAGCGGGGTCAGGAGCCCACGCCGGGCATCGGACCCAGGCCCTCTGATGTGGGACACGGGCACCCTAACTGCCAAGCGTCCACGTCTGTCATTCAAAAAATGCTCACTGCATTGTGTCTTACCACAAATGGAACACGTTCACACTCAGAGAACACACAGAAGCAGAGAGAAAGTCGTGCGACCACTGAAAGCAATCGCTGTTAACACTGGTTCTTCAAACCGCCGCTGCTTTTTGAGCACGTAACGAACACCTACATTCTATCCTCAAGCCCAGTGCATTTTCTATCAGATAACTTGGCATCGAGACAGTGACCCTTTAAAAGTTCTGAGGCTATTTCAGCCACAATTTTCAATCTCAAGCGTACACAAACCACAGCACACCGAGATGCTTTCCTTAAAATTCCTCGCGGACACACACAGCGCCACGTGGCGTTTTCGGAAGTGACTCTGGGCTACGTAAGCCCCATTCTGGGCCAGGGTACAGGTCTGCTCGCGAGGGCCCTCACTCTGCTCAACCCGCACGGGCACCTCCCAGGCAAGCTCTCCGGTACCTAGCACACCTGGCCTCACGCCCACCCAGCAGGCACCCACTTCCCAGCACAGGTCTCCCTGCCGACACCACCTGTCCACCCCCACCACGTCCCACACGCCCGATGCCGGGCAGGACCAGCGCCAGAGCCACGGACAACAGCTCTGCCCCCGCTCAGCCCAGCCGGCCACTGACGGTCCATCCTGGAAGAGGCGGCAGCTCCGGGGGCAGTCGTGGGACGGTCTCTGCTGGCTCTCTCACCCTCCTCCACATCTCCCGCCCCTCCCCGCGGTCCTGGGATGCACGTCCCTCTTTAGGCGAGGCCCCACAGGAACTGTGCCTCACGCTCTGAGTTCTGCAGGGGACCACTTAACACAAGCAGGAGCAAACACGTCTGTCTGATCATGGGGCTGGGCGGCCCGCGAGAACACATCTGATCACGGGGCTCACTGACCCACAAACAGAAGATGTCTGTCTGATCCCGGGGCTCGCTGACCCGCGAGAACACGTCTGTCTGATCCCGGGGCTCGCTGACCCGCGAGAACACGTCTGTCTGATCCCGGGGCTCGCTGACCCGCGAGAACACGTCTGTCTGATCCCGGGGCTCGCTGACCCGCGAGGACACGTCTGTCTGATCCCGGGCCAACGCGGACCCGCGAGGACACGTCTGTCTCATCCCGGGGCT